TTCCTATAGCTGTCTGCTTTCAAAAAGTCCAAGAGGGCTTGAAATTTATCACAAAGCATATAAATTTTTATCTAAATCAATCTAATAAAAAAAAATTAAAAATATTAAAAAACTTATCTTAATTTGCAGCTTATATTTGTCGATCATATTGCTTTGTAATGTCATTTATCAGTCTCCTACATACTGGTCTTTACATCAAATCGTTATGATAAAATAATTCATCACAGCACTGATTAGTTATTTACTGTAAACTGCGATGAAAATCGGATGAAGTTTTTCAAACTTTTTTTTCGAGTCGTGCCCAACGCCGTTTCTAGTTTGATTCATGTTGTCAATAGCCAGCGTTCCCTAATTTTACTATTGAAATAGATTTGCTGCTATAAACACACATGCTACCCCGTATCTCTACCCTGTACTCCGAGGAGTCGGAGGTCTACCCTGTACAAATTTTCTACGAGTACACCATCTTTATAATTCTGTGGTCATGGGAGAGTTCATTAACCAATGCAAGTAACGTGGAAGTAAGAGTGCCTCTACAATACAGACGTAAATCGCACGCAGTAAGTGTAAAATCAAGAAATTCTGTGTGCTGCCAACTTTGAAATTCCAAATTAATTGAAAAATCATAATTCCTATTGTACACCCAACGTGGATTGAATCGCGACCCCCCCCAGTTAGGTTGGTATGAGAATTCCGTCGTTTCATCGGAACGAAGAAACCGCGGGAATATTCAAAAATGAAAATTCGTTTTAAGATACGATAAAAAGCTAAAACGTTACTAATTTGTTTTTAGGTTTAAAATTAATTGTTTGCGAACAATAAATTTAGATGCATGATTATTTGATTTTAGGTTTTAATTATATAATTTAAGAACGAGCGTTATACTATGGCCGATCTGAAAACCACCGTTACGGACTTAAAGTATAGCAGTCAAAATCAAAGCTCGAATAGCAGACCTGAAAAAATCTGTTTACACGTGTCTATTTTAAATGTTTCTTCCGAGTTTCTTGTGCTTTTACCTGCTTTTGCTTCAGCAAGGATTTATCGTTATGCTGACATTTAGATAAGTTATTATTTATTTATTTATTTACTATCTACAATAGAAAATAAAAACATGTTACTTTGTGAATGTTCTTTTTTTTTGCAGGAGTTTTTATTTCAGCAGGATGAAGTGAAATAGAAATGTTATACTAATATTACTGAAAAAGAAATTTACTCCACTTGGCTCTCATGTTTGCGGAAAACCCAAAATATTTTTCCCATTCTTTTCCCCCTTTTAAGTTTATGTTAGGAAATGTAACACAAGGTTACATGTATTCAAGGTATACATTTATTATAGACATTTTATCTTCAAAATAAAAATAAATTTATTTCTTGCAATACATTGACTTACTTTTACCTTAATAATGTATACCACTTAAAAAAGTTTATTATGATAAGACATTGAAACATATGTCTAATATATATTTATATACATATATTTTTTTTTTTCAAAAAATGTGAATAGGATAGAATCCAAATATTAATGAGACACTTTTAATCGACACTTTTGAAGATAAAATGTCTATAATAAATGTATACCTTGAATACATGTAACCTTGTGTTACATTTCCTAACATAAACTTAAAAGGGGGAAAGAATGGGAAAAATATTTTGGGTTTTCCGCAAATATGAGAGCCAAGTGGAGTAAATTTCTTTTTCAGTAATATTAGTATAACATTTCTATTTCACTTCATCCTGCTGAAATAAAAACTCCTGCAAAGAAAAAGAACATTCACAAAGTAACATGTTTTTATTTTCTATTGTAGATAGTAAATAAATAAATAAATAATAACTTATCTAAATGCCAGCATAACGATAAATCCTTGCTGAAACAAAAGCAGGTAAAAGCACAAGAAACTCGGAAGAAACATTTAAAATAGACACGTATAAACAGACTTTTTCAGGTCTGCTATTCGAGCTTTGATTTTGACTGCTACTTTAAGTCCGTAACGGTGGTTTTCAGATCGGCCATAGTATAATACTTGTTCTTAAATTATATAATTAAAACCTAAAATCAAATAATCATGCATCTAAATTCATTGTTCGCAAACAATTAATTTTAAACCTAAAAACAAATTAGTAACGTTTTAGCTTTTTATCGTATCTTAAAACGAATTTTCATTTTTGAATATTCCCGCGGTTTTTTCGTTCCGATGCAACGACGGAATTCTCATACCAACCTAACTGGGGGGGTCGCGATTCAATCCACGTTGGGTGTACATAGCCTCTAACAATTGTAAACGTAAACATGGAGCCGATTGACGAATTGTTATAAAAAAATGGTTATATGAGATTATATGGGATGTCTCTTGTGTTATAACAATTCGTTCATCCCATATCCATACAACAATTCATTAATCGGCTTCATATTTACATTTAAGGCCCTCGCCACATATGCGCATATGCGCGCGTACGAGGGCGTACAAACGCGTACAAATCGCTAAAAATTTTGATAGTGCCAACAACAGAAAGTTACTACTATTCCTCGCATGCCCCAAACGAACACACTCTCAGAATAAACGTATCCATAACGCTATATTATTGAAGGTTAGACCCCGGTCCCGAATTTTATATGAATCCGAATTTCCCGAATTTCTTGGTTTTACGCTTGCTACCTGCGATTTACGTCTGAATTGGATATGCACCCTATCTATTGTAGATTCCGCATATAGATGCATTATTCGCTTTGGTTACTGAACTGGTGTACGTATAGAATATTGTGACGAGGTACGACGTAGACGTCGAAGTACGGGGTAGGACTACGGGGAGCATGTAGACGTCTAAAGGAACTCAGTAGAAAGTTAACGAAAATCGATCGAAAAAATTATAGAAAAACTGCGCGTGGTCAACAAAGATAGCAAAAGTTATTTATAACTTCGCGCAATTTCATTTTCATTGATAAAAAAATTATCAAATTTGATCACTCACAGATCATCGAATACTGTATCTACGTGGAGTTTTAATAAAGTTTTTAGAGAAATAAACCCGTTCAATCGTTAGCAAAAATCTCGCGTAGTTTTTCTATCCAATCAAAATATTATTGCAACCATCCGTCAATGTCAACTATTGTTGTGTATTCTAATTAATAGTTACATCGACGGTTATTTCAGAAAATAACCCATTCCTATTAATACAGCTCTTATAATTTGAGAGTGTGTCTTACAATAATAAAAGTGTACAGATCTATGTTACCGGCTGATCTGTTAATATTTATTCTTTAACGGATGGTTATAATAATATTTTGATTGAATAGAAAAACTGCGCGAGATTTTTGCTAACGATTAAACGGGTTTATTTCTCTAAAAACTTTATTAAAACAAATTTAATAATTTTTTTATCAACGCAAATGAAATTGCGCGGAGTTATAAATAACTTTTGCTATCTTTGTTGACCACGCGCAGTTTTTCTATAATTTTTTCGGTCGATTTTCGTTAACTTCCTGCTGAGTTCCTTTAGCCTGTGTAGACAGTCTCTTTGTTAATTTAAGATTAGTTTAATCTGGATAATTTTTTTTTTAATTCGTGAAATAATTAGTAAAAGTCATAAAGAAATGACGTAAGAAGGTAATTAAAATTTTATTATTGAGTGAAATACGGTTTATGGAATCAGATTGATAAGTGATGGTACAACGTAACAACTTATTTGAGAATAGAGTATTTTTTATCATAATTAAACTAATAACACTCATTTTAATATCGAATCATCACGGATGATATTGAATTTGATAAAATTTGAAAATATTGTGAGAAGGCCTTATAAATTTTATTTATTATATCAGAAAGGTAATAATATTAATATTAATATTGATATTATTATTAATATTAATATTAATATTAATAATAATATTATTAATATTAATATTATATTATTAATATTATTATATTAATATTAATATTATTATTATTAATATTAATATTATATGATAATATTAATATTTTAAGATGATACAAATTGAGCTAAGTCAGTTTCCATCTTGTTTTTGTTTAATTAAACTTTTTCGTGTCAAAAGGGGGGCTTACCTATCGCACCTGTACAGACGATTGAAACATATCAATATCCAAACAATTCTCTAAATAATTAATTTTTTAGTTTGCAAAAGGTTATAAATTATATAAATTTTGTATTTTAGGATGTTAGAAATTGAGCAAAACCGGTTTGCATCGTTTTTTTTTAGAAAATAAAATAATTTCGTGCCAAGAGTATACATTTTTCAAGATTCTGCTTTTCCACATTTTTCTACGTTTTCTGTAGAGGTACACATTGAAGCAAACTTATTTTCAGATAGTACAAATCAAATCTGAGCTAATGATATATATTTTTTTAATGAAATAATATATTTTCGTACCAGGGTCAAATGATAGCGCCAGCATTAATTATCTTCGCTGCGTATTTTCCATTGAAATTCAAAATGTCATTCAGTTAGGTGGCGTTAAATAATTGAACTTAGCTAAAGATTGTGTGTGTGGAATAATGTTGAATTTGGCGGGTATTGAATTAGTGTACATTTATGTACGTGTACATATCCTATGCATACAAGCTGGTCAGACTAGCGTGAATGGCTAGAGCAATGCGCTGAACATTTTAGACAGTTAATACGTGACATATACAAATTGCTTTTCCGTTTGGATCTCACTTTCAACTCAACCTAATATGTATATCAATGTAGTATTACTGAAATAATTCCATAAGAATCGTTCACGTTTTCGTTCGTGCAATCGAAAAACTTGATTAGAACTGATATCATTTTACAATGCTACATACTGCAATATAATCAATCCTGTACTTATTTGAGTAAAAACTTTTCACAGTGCACAATGGTAAGTAACCAAGCAGTTTCCTTGAGCATTTGAATAGTTGGCGCGTTAATCACGCATGCGCATGTTGTCAGAACTGGCATAGGTATGTGACGTGCGGCGCGGCGTGCCCGAGTAACTTAGTCTCACAGTCGAAGTTGAAACTCGAGAATGAAGAGAGATAAGCATATAGAGTGAGAGAGCGAGCGAGAGAGAAAGAGAGAGAGAGAGAGAGAGAGAGAGAGAAAGAGCAGAAGACGACCGCCATTACAGTGATTACAAGTATACAGCCTTGTGATCCCGTGATCTGCAGGCGAGTAGAAACAAAGATTGTGCACTTGTTTCTTCATTGATAAGATAAGTTTTATTTTTTATTCGGGTACTGTATTGTTGTCTCTTAGTCGCTGCCAGTTGAGTGGCAGCCAAGGTGAGAGTTAAGGTTAGAAAGGGGTATGTCCATACCTTGTGGGCGCAACCTCGTCACTCAGAATATTTATAAGAACATCGTAATTACCATGGAGAAGAAGACTGGTTTGTTCGTGACGTTTGGCCTCTTGATGTTGCTCTGTTTTGTGGCTGACGTATATTCAGGTGAACACAAGTTTTTCTAGTCTGTCAAGGTCTCCTCCGGAGTTTATAAATTTATTGTTTGAAAACTCAATGTCGGTAGTTTTTTCTGGTCAAATAATGAAAATCGCGATAAACAATTTGAAGAATGAGAACGAGAGCTACGTTTAATCGTTCGAACGATTTTTTGTCCTTGACATAGAAAAGAGAGAGAGAGAGAGAGAGAGAGAGAGAGAGAGAGAGAGAGAGAGAGAGAGAGAGAGAGAGAGAGAGAGAGAGAGAGAAACAATGTATATTTAGGGAGTGGAACGAAGGGAGGTGCGCCATGTCCAATGTATATTTTACGGTACGCATGCGCTTGTTTCTTCGCAGAGCTTTCCTCGAAAATATACTAGCTTACGACGATGATTTCAGTAAGTAACCCACGTGACTCTTCTCGCGAGGTCATTATTTTACATTTTCTCAGCTCTGACAATTCACAACAGCAGCGTAAATCCTGAATAGAGCATTTTTAGTATGTGGGAGAGAAAAACCCGTTACTCCTTAATTTTTGTACTATTGCAGTAAATATATTTTATCAAATAAGTCTATTACCACGTATTTCCCCGTGGCATATTTATTTTGAATTTATTTAAACTTTTGTTTTTAATTCGACTCGTCTACAAAAACATTAGTGATTTCTACTGATAACATTATTGAAAATAACTTTATTTTATTACGCATTGAATTTGTCATAGCGAATTGTATTTGTACAGAAAATTCATTATAAATATCACATTAATACGTAGTTTTTCGGGATTTATTATCTACATTATTTGTTACGCGCGTTGGTATGTGCGGTAGAAAGATAAAATCAATCTTACCGTCTACGAGCGTGTGCATCAGCGCACTTTATTTTACTTCCTTTGGCTTCAATTGATGCGTTTAACTCATCGTTTTTTATTGAATTCAAGCCTTTCGACGGTATTTTTTGTCACACAATTTTAATACTCTTTCTCCTTCTCCCTCCTTCCCTTTCTCACTTCTCTCTCTCTCTCTCTCTCTCTCTCTCTCTCTCTCTCTCTCTCTCTCTCTCTCTCTCTCTCTCTCTCTCTCTCTCTCTCTCTCTCTCAAATATTTTTCATTTCATCTTTGCAATGTATTACACACAATTCTCACATCTGAAACGACTTTACTTTCACCATGAGGTTATCTTATAACATTTTAATTCTCTCAGTCTATATCCATTTATGATCTATTTTATTCTTTTATGTCGGAAAATATTTTTTGACTGAGATGAAATTTCACGTAGCTTTTCCTTATTTCAAAAAATAGTTGTTTATTCAGGTAGTAGACATTTCGGGTAGGACCCTGATCCTATGCGGAATGTCTTCGTTAAATACGTTGACAAATGCCGCGTATAATGATGTATAAAAACAAGTGATTGTTGTACTGAAATTGAAGATATGCTTCAATTCTGTGTTTCCGACAGTCTAGTGCTACTAAATTAGAACTTATTTAATGCAATTTATTCCTGAAGTTGAATATTTTCACATGGTGATGACAAAAATAATAATAATCAAAATAAAACACTATTCAGCTGTAAAAGTTGATTTATGAGTGTTTGCTCGCAAGATTCTTACATACAGGATTTATCGTATATATCGTTAGCTGAGCATTCTGTAGGCTATCAGATAGTAAACACTTTGTGTCACGTGGAAATTCCATCTTCAGGAAAATATATTGCTTACATATATAAAGATTTAGAATTTGACGGAATATGCGATCAGTGAAATACGAGGGTTCGAAGATGGTGAAGCCAGGTGAACGATGGAACATCACGTGCAGCGATTTGCCAGCAGGATCATTAGCAACATGGAAACGCAACGGGCAGTCATTCGATGAGGACTTGGCGAGCGGCTTGATGAGTGTCAAGCCGACTTTCGACGACAAGCACATTAACATAATCGCTAGTACTATCGAAGCTGATAGAGCTGTCAAGCGACACGAAGGAGCCTATACCTGTCTTGACGGCAACGAGCCACATCATCTTACAATCGATTATGGTTCGTAGACGCGAGTTGAACAGTAGACGCTACTCGCCAGATAAAGCTCTCCGACGCTACAGACAAGCGTCATAGTTTGCTTATTGTACCGTCCATTTATTACTCACTGTTGGAACTCATTGTTTACTTTCAGTGGCTCAGTTGCCTAAAGCAGCATATTTTACGTCACAATTATTCTTACACTCTTTTTTCTTTTTATTTGCGCGCATCATCTGTATATTTGCTTAGTATTACCAAATTATTTATCTGGTTCAATGTGCCCATTATTTTATGCTTGCCTATATTGCAACTCGTTTCGTGATTCAATGATTATATCTTTTACCTTATGCTTTCTCACTCTCAGTTTATATGCTTCATATTTGTTTGCAACCCAAAGTGGAATTGTCAATGAGGATCACGTGCAAACAAGGTTCGTGTCACCAAATGATTTAGTTGACATTTTTGCCGAAATTTCATCTATACGTATCTATACTATTTAATCGAGGGTCACAAAGCTTTTTGTTCAATTTGAATAGTACTAGACTACTAACACGTCTGATTCTTCGCACATCATTCACTTCAGAAATGAGTTCGCGTAGCAGTCCCAACCGTGATAGACATTTTCGGTTGTACGTTCGTTTTCCATTCAAGCTGCAACGTCCTTGTTTCAAAACTTGACTTACGTGAGCACTCTTATTGCTCAGCTGAGCTCGCCATCAAACAGTTGGCATTACTTGCGCGTACAACCGTTAGTCCAGTATATAGGTTCAGGGTTGGGTTCACGTTACCGCATGATTTATCTTGTTATCACTCACAATTACGCGAAAAAAATAAGCAATGAATTAAAGAAAGAGGCCAAAGGCCGTTTTTCCTAGTATTCTTTGTGCGAAATTCTTCAAAAATTATCAACATTTTTACGGGCGCGAGGCTGATTTACGCGAGCCTCACGGTAATCTAACTAAGCTGTGGCGTACGATTGCTGTCTTGTACATAATTATGAAATGTAAAGTTATGGCTGAATAGTCATCGAATACTACACAAGGAAAATTCATTGCAACGTCGAATTTCAGTGGATTACTATCCATCGCTCATTCCTTTAGTTTTATCATCTGGAGACTATCCCTAGCAAAGGTGCGGTAGGTTTTATTATTACGATGATTTGTGCTAACCATAATAGCATTCTGTCATTGGTTCTCAGCAGCGTAACAGCTTTATGTAAATAATCACGCCCATTCCCTGTGTATTAAAAGTCCAAATCAAACTAAACATTCAGTGTTAAATCCTGTTGTTATTACGCAGACGTGAGGTTCAAAGTTCTGGGTATCAACGACACGGTCACACTGGAGTGCCCCAACGCTGACCAGCAGCAGCAGCAGCAGCAGCAGCAGCAGCAGCAGCAGCAGCAGCAGCAGCAACAGCAGCAGCAACAGCCTGTGGAATGGAAAAGAAATGACAAAGCTCTTGTTGCGTCCCAGTGGGTCCATGTAAACAGTCGCAACGTCACCATAACACGCATCCAGGACAAGGACAGTGATATTTATGGCCATTATACTTGTACGGTGGGCAACGCTACTTACAATTACCGTGTTGTCAGTAAGTACGACAGTTTGGTGTCCGATATACGACAGTTCGAAATAAATGACTTATTCGTTAAAGAGCCACCCTTGGTGTACCTGCCACCGTCGACAAATGTAGTGGAAGGTGAGAAGCTGCACTTGACCTGTCAAGTTAAAATTGGCGAACCTGGATTAAAAATCGTCTGGAACGTGAAGGGGCAAAACTACTCAACCACTCGTGGCCGTGTTAAGTTATCGCGAGACGATGAGCACAGTCTCGACAACACAATCCTCAGCCTCGATAACATTACTACGGATGATCATGGCCACATCACTTGCTATGGTCTTTACAACGTTACCGACATCGATCCTCAACACGCTTACTCAACTGTCACAGTCCTCCGGGTTAAAGACAAACTCGCAGCGCTTTGGCCGTTCCTAGGAATCCTCGCAGAGGTTATCGTACTCTGCGCCATCATTCTTGTTTATGAGAAGAAGCGCAACAAGTCCGAACTCGAAGAGTCTGACACCGATCAGAGCCCCGATACGTAAGTTCGCTTTAAGCCCACTAAGTAGTTTTAGAATGAACTCTAATCATTCGATTTACTCCCACATAGGAAACCCACGCCAAAGAAGGACTCTGATGTAAGGCAAAGAAAGTAGTAGAGGAGCTGTTTTTTGCGAAGACTTGAACGAGCAGCAAAGTATTCATAAACAGTCAACAAGTGAGCTTTTCTCCTTGGAACATACTCACTTAAATTTACACACACATAACGTACGTTTCTCGTTGCATTCGTTACTAACTAATTGATTTAATGCAAGTAGGGTGAAGGCCGGGAAAGGGGGAAAGTACGAACGTCTCGTGTGAATGAAAAAAGGCACTTTTTAAGATTTCTCTAAAATTACATCCGATTTATTAACGTATATACATAAAAATAGTTTAGATGTTAAGAACAAGACCTGATGAACCATTTTCTCGTTCTTCTTGTATTCCGTGTTTTTAAGAGCTTCTTGCTCCGTATCCTAATTACTATTATTACTATTAGTAATCCAATACGATCAAATGTGCTCGTATTGCGAGTACTTTTTGACTTTTATTTGAAGTATTATATTTATAATTGTCATTGTTGCTATTCTGTATATTTTTCGATATTTTTCGATATTTTTCGGCACATCAGATTATTCTTTATTTTCTCGGGAGATCATCACATTAGTTTTGGTTTTTTCTCCACTTTGTAGAATTTTCTCGTGCTCACCCGCCTCAGCAGTGGTTATCGTAAGTAATTTTCTTTTCATCCAACGAACGAAGTTCTCCTAATGTTAATCGAGAAACTTAAATTGTACTTCTTTTCTTCATTAATGCCATTGATGTTTTGTTAAAAATAGAGCATAAACAATGACGTTACATTAAAGTTGACTGGCTACCTTGTCTGTGAATCTGTATTTTGTATCAACATAATTATACTCTCAAAGATCAGCTATTTAAACTGTTGTTAAGTTTCAACTTGTTTATTTTATTTGGAAAGATTGGTTTGTGATAGATTTAATCGCGAATTCGTTACTCGTCTTTAACAACGAGGTAATTTTGTAGCGATGTTGTTTGATGGATTAATGGAAAATAATTAAAATAAAGAATGATGAAAAGAAATATTGATTAGATAAAAAAATTACTTAAAACAATGTACAAATGTTTTATTTCTCATACATATATATTACATGCACGCTCCGACCTATTATTCTGTAGTTAGTCTATTGCGAACGGTCATACAAATCATTTGATAGTCCGCTGTCCGAAGATCAGGTTGATGATTCAAATTGATTGCGTAAATTGAACGTTAAATTAATTGGCTTATAAATAAAAGCTTGAAGTAATCTAGATGTATTCTTCTATAATAAAGTTATTAACTCTACGCTTGAACAAATGTACACGCGTGCTTTTTATTTGGATGCTCTGTCACTTGTATTCAGCACTACGATTAAGCTCAACAAAAATTATTGTTTCGCATTGATGGCCTGTCGAAATGCTGAAAGTGACTGGCATTTGCCAAGTATAGCTTATTTACAGGTTATTAGTTTTAATGAGGGCAAAGTGATACCAGAACGGCCAATTAAGCTCGTATGCCAATGCTGAAAAGAATTTTTGACAATTTGCGCTTCAATATGAGAAGAAATTAGCGATGGACTTTCAACAACAATAGATATTATTATATATACAAAATATTATTGTAGAACTCAATTGAATTTTACGCGCGGATTGAAAAAGGCGCAAATTTATTTGCAAATTGAATATACAAATCACGCGTCTTTCAATCCACCATGCATTAAAGCGTTGAAAATAATGTTTCCTCATCTCGAGACTTAGTGCAGCGTATGCACATCAGTTTCACGTCATTTCTGCTTCTGCTGCTGGTTGCCGGCATAGTCGACGTAAACGCGCACCACCTCGCCGCTGTACTTCCGTTGGCTGGGCATGAAGTAAAAGTCAGGTTGCGCTTGCAAGTTTCCAGCGGTCTGATGATGGCCATTAGCACTTCTGTTGGCATATCTCGGCATCTGCCGTCGGTCCTGAGTGTAATAACCGGCTTGATTGGGCTGGCCGACAATCGGCGACATGCCGGCAGCGACAGCTGCTGAGGATTGTCGGGGACCCGGCGCACGCGGCAGGCTGTACGTAGCTCGGGGACCGGGTGGCAGCGCGCTCATGCTGTTGCGGCTGCCGGGCGTCTGCAACAGCAGTTGGTGCAGCGGCGGCTGGTGGTGATGGTGGTGATGCTGCTGCTGCTGGTTGTCGCTGTCAAAGTCCCCGCCAGAGTGGCCCCCGTTGCTCATCCTCATCTCTCGTGCAGCTCGCGGAAGACTCTCTCGGAGAGGGGCCGGCAGAGCGTGCTGGCTGATCTGCGATGGCGTTGACTTCTCCTCGGTTTCGAAAGCCTCGAACGCGAAATTGGTGTTGGCGCTCGTCGAATAGTCGCGCCACGGGTTCTTCGTTATCAGATGGTCCTGCAACAAAAATTAAGGCCCGTTTGTCATTGACAGCTCCCTGCTGCTCGTCGCTTACCGGCGAGTTATACGTTTCCGCTGCTCCGAGCTGAATTCGTGATAAGGTTATATTAATTATGCATAGTCGCAATGACAGCCAGTGTCACAGAGGTATGTACGTATGTACGATTGTTTGCCACGTTACTGTGTGTATGTATCAGCGCTAATGTTGAGTGGTGAAGTGAGAGCGGAGAGCGGAGTCAGGTAGAGATAGGTAGAAAGAAGCGTGCACGAGGTTCAAGCAAACGAAGGAAAATGAGCGACGTGACGTGCGGCAAGAGTTGTCGGCAAGAGGTAGAGCGAGAGAAAGCGAGAAAGAGATACCTGGATTGTGGTGGTGGAGGGAAATTGGCGGGTATTGGCGCGTTTGCTACCAATTTGGGGAAGGCCGATGCATGTTGGGTGGCGCGAGGTGCTGCTGTTGCTGATAATGACGCGCAGACTGCAGTTGTTCGTGCTGCTGCTGCTGCTGTTGTTGTTGTTGCTGCTGCTGCTGCTGCTGCTGATGATGATGATGATGATGATGATGATGTCCGTTGTAGTGTTGATATCCGTTGCCATTGCCATTTCCCATGTTTTGTTGCTGATGCTGTTCCCTGTAGTATCGCGGCGGCGGGTTGGATCGGCTCTGATGAATAGGGTTTGATGGCCCCATCGCAGGCGAGGTAGCCAATGGCAGCGAGTACACCCTCTGCGTTTTCGCATGGTACGCGCAATTTTCGTGCACACGCGACACAAGATTATATGCAACACAAGCAAAGCACAATGGCTCTCGCTCATCTCGAAATGGTAAGATTGTTGTACTAAGTGCCAAAGTGAGAGAGAGAGAGAGAGAGAGAGAGAGGGAATGGGAAAGAGAGAGAGAGAGAGAGAGAGAGAGAGAGAGAGAGAGAGAGAGAGAGAGAGAGAGAGAGAGAGAGAGAGAGAGAGAGAGAGAGAGAGAGAGAGAGAGATAATTACTAAACTACCGTTCATGGATTTCAGGGGTGAGGTGAGATCTATGTTGATTTTGCAATGAATGAGACAAGATTGATGTTGGGACATTATGAAGAAGAAAGTGAAGATAGGCAATCAGTGGCTCACGCTGCTGAGGCTGCGAATTAGAGACGCGGGAAAACGTCGCTTTCTAATAATTGGTATGCGTTCAACGCTGTCTCTATTTCGCCTCATAACTTGATAAAGAACAATATACTACTGAATATGGCATTTTAGGGAGGATAGAAATTTGCTCATACCTTGGTTGTTCGTTTCTTGGATGCTTTGTATATGGTGCAGCTAGCTTGCAGCAAGGCCAAAGCCAGCAGCGCCGCCAGACACGCGATAACGATGTAAAGTTTCGTTGGACCCAGCAACAGTCCAGCCGTCAATGTATTCTCGGTACTCGCGTTATCCAAATCGTTCTCAAAATCACTTTCTGCAATCAAAATCATTGTTTCTGCTAGAAAGGCTACACTCGCGGAAACGACTCTATAGACATAATGCATCGAGGTTTACATACGCTGCGAGCCAACTATGAGATAGTTAGGATCGACAGTAAGGGCACCAATTTTGCCAGTAGTAAGCGCCTCTAAAATTGCAGCCTCGGCTAAAGCTGCAGCCTCCTCTCGCTTAAGTGCTCGATTTTTGATCTCGTTCTTATCCATTGCCAAAATTAACTTTGCTATTACGCCATTGTTTCCCGTTCTATAAAAAAGAGACCAGTTGTAATTATTAGTGGCAGTAGTCGGCATAGCGCGCAACGCACTTGACAAGTTCCATGAGCTTGAACTGTTGAAAGCCGGGAACTTTGTGCAAAATTGTCGAGAAACTCGCTGCAATAACGTTAGACAGATCCTCAAAGTCTTCACTGCCAGGCAGTGGGGCTTTGTAACCGTCTCCCAAATTTATCAGTCGTATTTCCACGTTGTAGCTTAGCCGTGGCACTGTTGTGGTCGTCGCCATATCAACTTCATCTGAAAATCGTCCTACTATTTAATAAATGTCGCGATTGTGATTTTCGCAAAGAAGATTCGCATGCGACTAGTTACGTTTATTACCTGCTGCAATTCCACAAGATTTGATACAGACTTGATGCGCAGCTACGATTGGAACCTGCTCGTGTTTGCGAATCTTTTTGTTGACAGGATTGAAAATGCCTCCCTTCACGGGGAACATGAAATACAGACACTGGTCATCCGTGAAGGCCAAGTCGCGAATATCGTCCGTCGCTCTTTTTCTGCTGAACGTCAGTGTTGTTTCTCCGTTTTCAATGCGACCGTACGAATTGAAAATATCTTGCGAGCTATCGAGAACCGGCGAGTTGTAGCCGTTGATCCAGGTATCCATGAGAAACGCTCTGCCGCTCGATTTATCCACCCAACCAAGAATCGCGTCTGTCTGGGTCTACGATCAAGATACATCGTAATAACGCGCGAGTTATTTTGCTGGCGACTTCAATGTAATAGATGACGAACCATTTTCTCGTCCTTGGACAGTCCGATTCCCGTCCAAGTATCGACGTTGCTCGTGACGATCGTAAATGAGATCTCATCTTTTTTCGCTTTATACACCCACTGGACTCTATACTCGCAAGTATAATTTTCCGGCAAGCAATGCCGTGGATGGCGCCACTCGCCACTGCACTTGCCATTATTCAGCAGTGACGAATCCCCTTTGAGAGCGTCTCTACCTTTCTCCTCTGTAAATTATAATCGTGATCATAACAAGAAAATAGCGACGAACAACGATAATTCAGAGCCTCACCGAAAAAGTTGATTGTCGCGAGGCCGCGCTGTAACTTGTGCCCGTGGTATTTCAATTCGTCGGCTTTGTAAAAGTCCTTGACGCTGAGCGTGCCACCGCCATGCTCGACTCCGCTGGCCGGTACGTGTACGTATCGATCTGGCTCTTGACCTTTGGCCCAAATCACCTAATTGCGTGCCCACGACAACAAGACCAGATGAGCCAATCGTTAATTGCTTCAACGAAAAACGTTCATACCTGCATTGCGGCGTCGCGGATTTCATGGTCGCTGAAATGCTGATCCCCGGACAGCAGTTTCCGTCTAAACAAAATGGTAGTCACGCCGTCTCTCTCGAAGCCCATTGCAGCAGTGAGGCTGTCTTTGCCACCCCAAAATGAGTCCGGACGGGGCGTCGAACGATCGCGCGTATAGTAGTCGCCAATGCGATGGCGCATGCCCCGCGCAGAGCCAATCACAATGTCCGTGCAATCCATCGGATTGAAATCGTGTTTGGGCGTGTATTTGTGAGCTGTCGCGGAAAAAGCATAATATCGCTATGTTATACCCATGACGACTGCAGCGAAGGAAAATGAAAGAAAAATAGACGAGGAGTAGAGAGGAAGGCTAAGACTGCGGCGCTCGAAATTTCAATGCATCAAAATTCAAAGAGGCAGGCTTGCAGTTGATTGCGAAAGATGAACTGATTTGACTATATTATTACTATTACCTTTGGCAACTTCTGATCGTGGTATTTCTTCTGGCACAGGGTGGAGCTCGGATTTTGGATTGGGTTCGGATTTCGGCTCGGGATCGGATCGCGTCTCAGGCTCCGATTTTGGTTCGGGATCGGATTTCGACTCGGGCTCGAACTTTGGCTCGGATTTTGGCTCAGATTTTGGCTCGGATTTTGGCTCGGATTTTGGCTCGGATTTTGGCTCGGATTTTGGCTCGGATTTTGGCTCGGGCTCGGATCGCGTCTCGGGCTCGGATTTTGGCTCAGGTTCCGTTTTTGGTTCGGGCTCTGTAATTGATACGGGCTCGTGGTCGCCGCTGCTAGCTGGCTCGTCTGTGCAGAAAAGCAATACATGCCACTATTTACAGACCATCACCATCAGTGAGCGACTATTATCAATAATGGACGTGTCCGGCACCACAACAAAAGCACGCAGTTTTTGTCGCGCGTGTCAAAGGAAAATTTGCTACGCATCTCTTCTCTTTGTAATAAATTTTCTGACTACGTATTCCAGTTGTCTCGAGAATGCGCAATCGAAAAATGAAGAACGCGTTCATAGAAGTTCACTTGGTAGGCAGTACACCCTTTATGGATGGTAGTTCCGTTTTAACGTCCATTTGCCGCTTTTTCTATCTCAATTATGTAGTACCTACTGTTTTCTACGCTATAGTATCGTATTATACTTGGCATGCAATCGATGATTAGTCTTTTAAATTTTTTAATAAACGTTTATTGTGAATTGGAAACTTTTTGGTGACGTACGTGCGATTAGTGAGTTTATGATGATAATCTATTCGCGGAATGACGATAAAGGCTTGAAAAGTGCTTCGCACGTTACTCACCGGTTGGTAGTGGCGAATCCAGTGATCTTCTACTGCGGCCTATCGACAGATAAAAGAGCATTGATTTTGTCGAATCGTTTATCACAAGTCAGGACATAACAGCTCTTCACTTTGTACCTTGCTTCGTACTGACGCGATAGGTGACGCTAGTTTGAACAGTGACGTCGCTGCCAGGACGCGATGTTACCTCGTGGTTAGCCGAACGCTTGTTATTGCTGGCGCGCGTCGTGGTTACTTCGGGCTCAGGTTCGGCGGTCGCAGACTCCGAGCGCGCTGTCGTCGTGGCGTTGGGTTCCGATTCCGGCTCTGGCTCGGATTTGGGCTCCGGACGGGGCAAAGGTTCGGCACTCGAGCCTTTCCTGCCATGTTCCTGAATCTCGTGGATCTCTTGAATCTCGGGAATGGCTCGGCATGCGGATGTTAAGCTTGCAGGTCGCCAACCCACGCCCACCCATGAAGTACCGTTCACTACTGCCACGCCTTCAAACTCTCGCGAATCCTTGAGGATGCGCCAATAGAAGGTGAAGTCGGCGGAGAAACGCTTCATCGAGTAAGACGCCAGGTCAAGCTCGATGTTCTTCATTACCGAGCCTAAATAGCCAAATACAGCGAAATAACATCGTTTATCCGAAAGTTTATCGTACGTGCGAGTGCCAGGCATTGTAGTAAATGCTTGGCGAGCTGTGAGCCGACAAACTGAAAGTCGTTATATAAGAGCGTGTTTTCACTTTTTCAACGATTTTTAGCTATGTATTCGTGCTATGTTTCTTTCAAATGTTGTACGCAGAAAAAGTAACGAAATAACAAAAATCACTGGCCATAGCAGAGAAATTTACTCACGCTTGGAGCATCCTGGCCCATACCATCCAACGTTACAGTAGCAGTGTTTAGTGGGCGAAGTGGTACCTCCGTTGTCGATGCATGCCCCTTGTGTACCGCAATCAGAGTCGTCCAGGCACTCTTCGCGATACTGGCATCGCGCTCCATGGTAGAATCTGTCACAGCGACAACGGCCTACCACTGAGCGCCCGTGGCCGCTGCAGTCCTCGCGGTACATCTTTCTCTCGACGATCTGCGCGCGAAAAATGCGCATTCACTCGTTGGCGTTTTTCAATGTGATTCATCGCAATCGAGATCAATTTTAAGTGAATTTGATAGAACTCACGTCGACGTCAGCACACGACCAGAATCTGTAGGTCGTGCCCCACTCTTCGGCCTCCCTGAGTAGTCGTACAGTGCAGTCGACGCAGGTGAAGTTGTTCGGCAACTCGACCAGATAGCTCTGCGCTCTGGAAACAATGGCTCGAATGAATACGTTGTGCTCGCGCTGCCGGCCGACATAGGTGCACCGCGGTACTCACGTAGCGTCATTCTCGACAAATTCACTCTGTTTGGTTACGGGAGTGAGGTCGACGAGCGGTCTGTCTAGAGCATCGAGTATTTGCAGTCTGAAGCCGCCCTGCAAATGACCACCGCAAGTATATGAGGAGAGGCGCACTCGGCTCTACGTGCTCGGCTTGTGAGCGCGAGCGCGCACGTGTCAGGAATCCGATTCGGGAGGAATCCATTGTCGGTGTCGATGGGCACTGTTTGTATTTTGCGCGGTAATACGAGAGACGAATAATATTAATGTTTCGAGAACTAAGCACATTGCAGCGATAATGGATTTAAGCAGGACTGTTCCCGTAAGAACCCACGAATCAATGGAATTCTATGCTCAATGCTAATTTTCTTCTTGAAATATTTTCATAGTCCGCTGAATCCCAATACCCATTATTGCACTCAAAGTTTCCCCGCACTCCTGCTCGCGCGCACCTTTTCCACATACGTTATGCGCCTTCCGCATGCCATCACAAATATCGTGTGAAAAGTCTCTCGTTTAATAGAGGATGGATCAAATTCCCTATCAATTCACGACTCGATTTCGACAGAAACGAGTAGAATTATGATCCGTATCTTAGGCGGAGGTGGGCGGAGGTGCAGATTCCAGGTCATAACGGTACGTCGGGTGCCATGAGCGCTGCTACTCGCATTAACTATTCGCGCGTGTGTGCATTAGAATTTCAAGTGTAGCAGGTTCCCGATTGATATTTTGGGCGCGTAATAACGGAAAAGATAAGCCGCGGTTGAAAGTCGATAAGCAGCCGATGACAACGTGCAAAGCAAATATAATTCGATAGGATCTCGGGCTGCCAAATGGAAAGGCTTACGAAAAATATGATAAGTTGCATCAAAATTTAATACGTTCATAGCACTGTTCCTCAAACGGACATATAATTAACAATTAACACATACCCTATGTGGATAGGCCAGGTGCCATGTGACGTTGAAGCTGTTGCCAGACAGTAGCGTTGTCTTGATGTCGCCTGCAAACAAGCACACACATTAACGATTAAACGGCAACCTCGTGTGAGAATGCCACAAGTGATTTGCAGATTCACGGAGATTTAGATAACTAGTTACGCGAGAAACGATCGAAAAGGCATCATTACACGGGATCAAATTGTTTTTGCTACGTTACAGTTTAAATAAACAAAATCCTCGTCGGATATAGGTATTTGGGTATTTCTCATGCTCTACTGTGTAGCGTGGATACAGATGCGAGCGGCGAACAAATCTACCTCGTTAACTCATTGTTGTTGTTGTTGTTGTTGTTATTGTTGTCGTTGTCGTTGTTGTTGTTTACTGATGGATGCTATGCAATTAGCGTATGGAATCTAATTAATAATATCGTAGATTGCGCATATTGCAGCAAGAGGCAGAAACGATGTGAAATTAGTTTTTACGGCAGTTCAACGTAGTTGAACATTGATAAATAATGTATCAAACTCGCATAGTGCCTTTATAACGAGTACGCAAAATGAGTCATCATTGTGCCAAAGTCAAAGCGCTTCGTATCGCCATATCGGGGAGTTGCGACTTTAAATTAAGTCAACTATATATATATATTAGAAAAGAAATGACAAGAAAAATATTAAGAAACGAGGAAACGCTACGAAGCCTTATTTGCGTACAAACATTACTGTACTCCTACACTTTCTGCTGCGCGCGGGCACGTGCGTGAGTGGGTGCTTTAACCCAATCCGGAAGTGCGACTGGAGGAGCGTCTTCCGCCGCTCCTTTCCCCCCACTTTATGTTGTTCTACTGCAGAAATTGTGAAAGTGGTTTTACTTTTGATTTCAATAAGAGAATAGTTGAATTGCAGAAGTTGTGCACGTAAACTGCTATTTTTAAGGAAAATGAATATGTTTGCACAATAAGGTCATTTGATCCGAGACGAGTCGGACGTGGATGTTTTCCGTTAATCGCATTGTTCTGCATTGATGTGATAATCACGTCCTTGTTTAATTTACGCACATATATAAAGCAGCATCTAAGCCATAGAGTAGAGTGCATCGATGGCGCCACTCCGGAGAAAGTCTCGCAACGCAATCATGAATCCACAGTCCACACAGCATTGTAGCGTTCGTGTCGCTGCTTCAAATCACCTGCAGCGTATCTGCAGCTGAATTTGCCTTGAATTTGTCGCGACGTATTATACATTTCAAAGGATCGTGCTGACGAGATACTAGCTTCGAGTTTGGATCGCGATTAGAATGTTCACGTTTTATTGAATTTTTTTTCAATTGACTAACCTTTTGGCATGCCACATGGCCCAGGTGTCCGCGCATTGTCTAGAAAGTCAAGATCAAAATGTCTGGCTCTAGGAAAGGTAAGTGCTACGTGAGCTTCCACCCAGTTGCTTGCTTCTAGAGCCAGTAGCACTAAAACTAGCAATGACACCTGCACACTCGTCATGATTCTCTTGTACTACTGTCGCTGCTGCTGCTGGTCACCTCATCGATGGTCGACTGTTCTGTACGCGCACCTGTAATTAGCTTAACATTAATACTAACAATTGTCAATTATATCACTCACTCACACAGTACAATATGTTCGATTGAAACAGAAGAAAAGTAAGCCGCGCATCGTTAGTCAGCTGATTAATAAATCAGAAGGACTGGTGCTGAGTTTCTGCAAAATTTTTCTTTGCTCGTTCTTGCGCGACTCAGCCACCCGTGGAATGTTAATTATATGAGCTACACACATCGCTATGGTCTTTTCTCTCTAATTCTTGGCAATAGAACACGTCTCTGTCGACGTGATCGAAAGATTCAAAGAAATTTATGAAGATGGAAACTATCCGTGTGGAAATGTTTTCTCTTTTCGAGCGATACGTCATGCGTTCATCGCAAGCAATGTTCCAATTTAAAAGAAATTGTTCTTACCTTTTAAATCAAGTAGAAAATTTAACTTTTAAGAAAACAACCATTCTTATACGACGTTGCAGAGTATAAGCTCGTAAAACTTTTCACCAGCATATATTGATTAGCACAATGATCAAACATCGGCATTGATTATAAAAGGACACAACGAATCTTTATGGTAAACTCTCTCACGCGTGTGCTCATTACAGAAAATGTAAATTCGCGCGAGGGATTGGTCTTAAACATACATACGGAGATAGGATCGAGCTTGGAGGCTTCGCACGGAATGCGCTTGAGCGGCCTCTCTCTCCCCCCCCCCCCCCCCTCTCTCTCTATTACGTTCTGCAGATGCTAGTGATGGCCGCTCTTTTTCTAAGCAATCTTTGTATTCGTACCTTCGTTGTTCTTCTTTAATATTAGCTTCTTGTACTTTCAGGCACTACTACACTTTGCAAGACACTAACTTGCGTGCTCGCGATAAAAGAGCAAAGAAATAATCGATCGATTGGCAATCAAGAGGCAGCCATTTTGGTAGCGAGCTCACCGAAATAACAACGTGCCTTCCAGTCTCTCTCGCGAAGCACCAGCGCAGCGGTGAGAGGACTGACTGAGCTCCAAGACTCTCATTCTCTCGCTCTTTCGTTCTCTCTCTCTCTCTCTCGCTCTTTATAGCAAGGCAAGGCACCTTACTTCTCCCGCTTACTCTCTACTCCCACCATCACAGCAGTGGATTCTTCTGAACGTCACTGCGTAACTTGCTTGCCTACGACAACACACTTTTACAACAGCGCGCAAATGGAAAACATTTAAACACTAAGGAACAAGAAGCACGGCATATTGACAGTGAGTTCAATGCCGGAAAACTAGTCGAAAGATTTGTGTAAAATTCTTTAATGGGATTGAACTCACCGATCAGAGTATAGTGTCGTTCACACATTTAATGAAAGCCGTTGCCTTGCGCGACAAGAACCCAACCTGCAGGAGGAGGGATAAACATACCGACCGTTCGGTAATCAACCATAGAGAAAGAAACAGGTTCCTCTATGCTTTCTTCCTCTCTCCCTCTCTGCCTCTCTCAGCCTGCTTGTCTGCGTTTACTCTTACCTTTCATATTCGAGCCGAGACATGCAGTGTGCCATGAACGAGAGAGAGAGAGAGAGAGAGAGAGAGAGAGAGAGAGAGAGAGAGAGAGAGAGAGAGAGAGAGAGAGAGAGAGACAGGTATTTTGATTGTCGCATGTAATGAGACGATAAATATACCGTTTATGCTGCAGAATTCGGTATAAATCCTACTCAAATTCAAAACATATCTAAATTATTAGGTAGCTTGCATTGCCCTGCTGTTGGTTGACATAAATTCATAGCAAACTATATATTTTCTCAGCATACGCTGTCGGCCGCTGATGGTGTTGCCTTATTATGTATATGCATTATACTACAAGCTTCCGTTTTTTTCTGCCAGATGAAGCGGAGTTAATTGGTATAGTAGCTTCGTACAATCTGAAAGTGAATAAACTACACTAATGAAGCTTCATGCATATGAATTAGAATATTCTTAGCTTTTTTCATGGTAAAAATTTTGAGGGTTGAGTTCGAGTATAATTTATAACGAAGAAGCCTTATTATTGAAAGAATTTAGTATGTCGTTCCGTCTCTTTCTGTATTCGTAAAAGTACTTGTTAAATATCCATACAAATCAAATAATATTTATACATTCTTCGGGTTTGGCGCAATGTCCAATCGTTATTAACGGTACTTGCACACATAGCAGAAGCACGTAGATTGAGCAACAACCTGAATTTTCTGCGCGGAGGCACCGGATTCAAATCGCACGCTTGTATACACAACATTTCGTCAGCATGCTTCGCGCGCGTTAATTGTCTGTGCACATGCCATTGCGCGTGGTTTCCACATGCGCCGCTGCCCTGGTAGATTTGCTGTATACCTGAACGTAGAGCTGCTTCGGTTTTTATTGTGTAATCCCTGGAACCAACATACTTTGCTGTTTCCGCGTGTATCTGCTTGCTACGCGCGAAGGCAAGTGCGCAACTTTCTCCTGAATGAATGTCTGCAGTAGCGCCTCAGGGCAATCGCCAAGAAAAAAACGATGCATATATTTTGGAACGTATACATATTGATAAGTGGCATTTATGCTGGATAGGTCATAATGCCATTGCATCGGAGAATGTCTCCAAAAGTCGCGCAATTACCTATACGTGAGAAAAGTCATACGTATATCCGAAAGCGCTCCCCGCTTTTGGTAACGTCGCAGAGTTGCTGAGCGAGAAAGTATTCATAATAGGAATTTTTATGGGACCAAACATTCGCTACAATAATCTAATTATTATGGAATCCATTCTGCATTCTTAATACTTAGCATAGGACGAATAAACAAGAGGTATTTGTTTCTTCATTGGCTTTTATTTAGGTCGGTGCGGCACTATTACATTATACCAAGACTATGAAATTCAGTGAGCGGGTCATTGAAACTGCGAAAAGTGAGTTGAAAGCGCTTTCTCTCCGGCTTGCGCGCTCGCGCGCGTGCGAATTCTCGCTCAGTAGCCGACAAACGATGTCGGTTGTCCCTAATAGGGCGTCAACTTTCGCCGTATCTACTTCTCCCCTCCTTATCCCGCCCATCGCTCTTTCTCGTACTCTTTTCATCCGGATTTCACTCTCATCTGAGGTTGTATCAAGGTGGGAGTGAGAGAGACTGAACGAGGTCGGCGATTATGCAGTCTCGATGGCACCTGCGCACCAATGCAAATAACATTATTAACGAAAAAGCAGGAACGAGTGACTGTACGTAGAAACGAGAATAAGAATGTGTTACGTTGCAAGCAGGAAAAGGCAACGAACAGCATGGTGTCGCCGAGCAGCCGTTTGTGTGCGAAAGCTTATTTAAAGCTTATTATCGGCGCAAACATTACATCATGTGCCTCTAATATTAAGTCGATATCGTCTTTTGCGAAGAGCGAATAGCACGCATAGTCGCCCTACCGATCGGGATTTGAAGAGATAAAATCTTATTGCCAGAACGAAAAAGAGAGAAAGTCTTCCCAACCCATCCACCGCTCTCCCGGATAGTCGCAGAATAAGGCAGCAGACGCTCTATTGCAGTTGATCTGGCAGAGTGGAGGGCAGCGTAATTAGGCTACGGGGGGTTGGGTTGGGTTGAATTTTTATTACGTCCACATCGTTGTCAGGATTGCATTACTGCGTCACGATATAGCCTCGGATAACCTCAACCGGTTTTTTTGATACCATGTTTATATTACGTACACATCGTTGAATAATCTGGAAATTATGTCAAAAGCCATGAGCATTGTTTATATATGTTATTACGGAAAAAAGCTAGGAAAAGCGTGTACTCGACGCGGGTCCTAAGTGGAGACTGTTTTTCGACTACAAATAAGTTTGTAATTTCAAAATGTTTAAATTTTTTCGTAAATTTTCGAAATTTAAAGATTTTTCACTTTTTTCATAAATTTTTCGAAATTTTATTATTTTTAATTTTTTTCACTTTTTTGCTTATTTTGTCGAAATTTCATGAATTTTCACTGTTTTCGTAAATTTTTCGAATTTTTACATTTTTAGTATTTTCGTCATTTGGTCGAAATTTCATGATGTTTCGTAAATTTGATGAACTTTTAAGATTTCTCAAAATTTTTTTCAAACCTCTGAAAACCAATGCGCATAGACTTAGACATTTTGTAACATCCGACAAAGCAATGCTCATGGACTTTTACATTTTTTTGAACCTCACGAGAGCAATGCGCATGGACTTTGATCATCTTCATCAATTTCACGAAATTTCGAGATTTTTCACTTTTTTTCGAAATTTCAAGATTATTCACTTTTTCGAAATTTCAAGATTTTTCATATTTTTCGTAAATTTGATAAAATTTCAAAATTTTCACATTTTTCGTGATTTTGTTGAAATTTCAAGATTTTTCACATTTTTCGTAATTTTGTTGAAATTTCAAGATTTTTCACATTTTTCATCATTTTGTCATCATTTTCCATCATTTTGTCGAAATTTCATGGTTTTTCACATTTTTCGTAATTTGTTGAAATTTCAAGATTATTCACTTTTTTCATCGTTTTTCATCATTTTGTCGGAATTTCATGAATTTTCACATTTTTCGTAAATTTGATGAAATTTTAAGATTTTTTCACATTTTTCATCATTTTGTCGAAATTTCCAGATTTATCACATCTTTCACTTTTTTCTCATTTTTTATCCTTTTGTCGAAGTTTCAAGATTTTTCTCATTTTTCGTCATTTTTTTACTTTTTGTCGAAATTTCAAGATTTTTCTCATTTGTCATTTTTTTCATCCTTTTTCATCATTTCATCAAATTTTCAAGATTTTTCACATTTTTCATCATTTTTTAACTTTGTGTCGAAATTTCAAGATTTCTCTTATTTTTCACATTTTTCATCATTTTTCATCATTTTGTCGAAATTTCATAATTTTCACTTTTTTCATTATTTTGTCGAAATTTCAAGATTTTTCAAGATTTTTTACATTTTTCATCATTTTTTATAATTTCGTCGAAATTTCAAGATTTTTCACATTTGTTCATCATTTCGTCGAAATTTTAATTTTTCACATTTTTCATCATTTTGTCGAAATTTCAAGATTTTTCATATTTTTCACTTTTTTCATCATTTTGTTGAAATTTCATGATTTTTCACATTTTTTACTTTTTTTATAATTTTTCATCTTTTTGTCGAAATATCCAGATTTTTCACTTTTTTTCACATTTTACGTAATTTTGTGGAAATTTCCAGATTTTTCACATTTTTCATAATTTTGTTGAAATTTCCAGATTTTTTACTTTTTTCATCATTTTTCATCTTTTGTTCGAAATTTCAAGGATATTTACTTTTTTCATCATTTTGTCGAAATTTCATAATTTTTCACTTTTTTCATTATTTTGTCGAAATTTCAAGATTTTTTACATTTTTTGTAAATACGATGAAATTTCAAGATTTATCACTTTTTTCTCTTTATTCATCATTTTTCATTTTGTCGAAATTTCAAGATTTTTCTCATTTTTCATCATTTTTCATCATTTTGTCGAAGTTTCAATATTTTTCTCATTTTTCATCATTTTGTCGAAGTTTCAAGATTTTTCTCATTTTCCATAATTTTTCATCATTTCGTCGAAATTTTCAGATTTTTCACATTTTTCACTTTTGTCATCATTTTGTCGATATTTCATGATTTTTCACATTTTTCATAATTTTGTCGAAATTTCAAGATTTTTCACATTTTTCGTAAATTTGATGAAATTTCATAATTTTTCACTTTTTTCATTATTTTGTCGAAATTTCAAGATTTTTCAAGATTTTTTACATTTTTCATCATTTTTTATAATTTCGTCGAAATTTCAAGATTTTTCACATTTTTCATCATTTCGTCGAAATTTTAATTTTTCACATTTTTCATAATTTTGTCGAAATTTCAAGATTTTTCACATTTTTCATAATTTTGTCGAATTTCAAGATTTTTCACATTTTTCGTAATTTTGACGAAATTTCAAGATTTTTCACTTTTTTCGTAATTTTTGACGAAATTTCAAGATTTTTCACTTTTTTCA